TCTCTGAAGAACTCGTAAAGGTAGTCATCGTTGAGGTACCCCTGGAGGTAGTCTCTGAAGAACTCGTAAAGGTAGTCATCGTTGAGGTACCCCTGAACATCTCGATCTGCTTCTGATTCATCTGTGGTACTGGCACTGAACACATGTCGTGGTGATTCTTTGGTCTCTTCAGCGTCCTGGATGTCCTCGTAGTCTTCTGGGATTTGCAGAAGATTCAAAGTTGATGGCGAAGACGAAGACTCAGTTATCACTGATTATATTTAGATAAATCACTGACACTGGTTTATATGGATCACTGGCAGAGTTATTTCCCAAATGGATCACTACTTCAATTCTCCGGTTGGTTTTGGGAGTGACACGAAATATGTGCTTGCTTTACTAATTGCGAGAGCGTTATGATGAAAAATTCGTCGGGGCGAGGGCCTTTTAAGGGCCCGTCGGGCCTCAACCCCATTGACCATTGGGGTGGGGGTGATCGGTCACTGGTCAGTTCAGTGTGCCCTTTCCCCCTCCCCTCGTTTTTGCTCATTTCCAACAAATAGTCAGCTTTTAAATTATTTACATTTGCCAATTTTTTCATTTAATATTCACCTTTTTTAATTGGACAATTTCGCAATTTCACATTTTAATTCGAGAAATTTATTATCTCAAAACATCGAAGGATTAACTTCAGAAGCTTATGTTAAATAAATTGTCAATTGCCATTTCCAAAAACTGAATGAAAATAACAACTCAGTGTAAATTTAGTAAATAAATATCATTGAAACTGTTGGTAATTATTGTTTTTTATGAAAATAATCAATCCCGATTTTACTCACGCGGAAAATCAAGAATGATTAATCATAATTTAATAACAATGATTTTTAAGAATAACTTTTCAAATAAAAGACATGCACGCCGTTTTATTCTCAACAGGAACTTATTGAACATTTGCATTATTTAAAAAATGATTTTGTTTAATAGTCATGTAGTACACTAAAAAAATTACTTTTGCCAAGAATATTTTCTTTCCACCAGTAAATATAAAAATTCACTGTGCACGGAGAGAAATATTTAGTAAAAATTACGGAACTTTCAGTTCTCTTACACGGAGAGAAATATTTAGTAAAAATTACGGAACTTTCAGTTCACTTACCGATTACGGAGTTGATTCGAAAAATTTAAATGACGGTATCGTTATTTTTGACCGATTATTCAGATAAAAATTACGGAACACCGCGGAAAATTTCCGTGACTTTAGATAAAAATTACGTGACAGGTCCGTAAAATTTCCGACAACCACATTTCGCTCCAGAATTACGGAAAATACACGTAATTTTTATTGAATATTTCTCTCAGTGTACCGATTATGGAATCGACTCGAAAAATTTAAGTGACGGTATCGTAATTTTTTCATAGGTAATTCAGATTAAAATTACCGAAAGCCGAAGAAAAATTTCGTACTTTTAGATAAAAATTACGTGACAGTTCCGTAAAATTTCCGACAGCTATATTTTGCTCCAGAATTACGGAAAAGACACATAATTTTCATTGAATATTTCTCTCCGTGTGTAAATACTCCCATAAGACTTACTAATAAAAAATATATTTTCTTGTGGTTAGTAAATATTCTTGGATAAAGAATTTTTTTTTCTCAGTGTACACAGAAAGAAAACTACCGGAAAAATTACGGAACTTTAACGTATTCGTGGGGTGACCTTGGTTTTCGCGAAAAAATACTGTAAGTTCCGTAAAAATTTTCGTATCGAGCAGGAATTTTTACGAAACGTTCAGGACAATTTTACGGTACCTCGAGTACTTTTTCCCGAAAAGCAAGGCCACCCCACGAATACGTAAAAGTGGTAGACGGAAAAAATATCCCCGGAAAAAATAGCCCACACACCCAAAACCCACCCAATTTGATAGACCATAGGAAAATTAGAGTCCCTGAAAAAATAGACAACGAAAAAAATAATTAAATTAAAAAATAATTAAATTGAGCGAGTTTTAACACGTTTTGAATGTGTGGGATATTTTTTCCCCGGGATATTTTTTCTGGGATTCGTAAAAGTTGCGTAATTTTTCCGGTATTTTTCTCTCCATGTAGAACAGCACATATATCCAAATTATTCATACAACTTCAAATACTCCGAATATTTAAAAAATCCCTTGCAATTATTTTGATTTTGAACTGCATAAATTCCGTAAAACGTGAAATTCCATTCCATCAGAACTTGCAATATCTACAAAAGTACAGGAAAAAAATAGTAAAAACGACACGTGTCAAAATTCACGCACAAACTCGTCTCAATGACTTTCTCCCTGAATTCACTGAAGGTCTCAATGAGTCATGAATTTACCTGAAAGTGACAACAAAGACGAAAATACAGAGAAATCGTAAATACCTGCGGTAATTAGACTGCACGTCTTTAATCCGCCGGAGGGAAATCCCCTATTTAAGGAAATGGCAGGTAATTCCATTGTACATCATACCTGCAATAAAAAGGCTTGGCAATTGTCTGAAAGGAAAAGGGTTTATGGCGGTCATGAGCTATTGACCTGCTATTGACCTGCTATTGACCGCCGGTCAACGAGCACCTGTCACCAGCAGTAAAGTCATCACCTAATAAAACCATTCACTTGAAAACATTTCACCGAAGAAAATATCCGGGATTATTTCAAATCACCATAAAAGAAGAGAGAGGGTGTGAGATTGGGGCACTACGAGTCACTCCGACGGGCTTAATCCCTAAAATAAAGACACGTGGCAAGTGGAGTTCGGGTCAGGGTAATTACCTGGATTTTCAATTGTCTTTCACACCTCCTGAAGAAGGTCAATGGATACACAAGTATTCGTGGTAATGATTACCTCCCGCCGAGAAGACGAGAATGCGCTATCCAGGTAGACAATTGCGGCCTCCAATTGTCGGAGTGAATAATAAAACTGCCACTATCAGGCGTTATTTCATGGGAAATTTATTCCCAGGATTGTCCGGTGTAGTCTTTTGTACAATTTTGACTGATGAACAAATTGTATGGACATATTCTAGATGAAATGATTCCGTGACGTCCGCCTCGAAGTGACTAACCTGGGGATTTCCCCAGAAGCTCTCGCACCCCTGCGCATATTTATTATTAAAAGATAATTTCATTGAAGTTCATGCGATGTTCGATGTACGCATTGCTGTTTTCTCACTGTTTTCCCCTGGATTTTTCCCCTCAATTTCGCTTTAAAGTTTTTTTACCAAATTGCAGACGTAAAGTCGCTCGCCACAAAGGAACAAAAATAGTCGTCCCCAGGTGTGGTCTTCTCACCGATAGAAAAAAACTTTTGATCTCCAATTGAAAAGCAAAAAAAAAAGAAGCCTCAGGGTGATCGGCGTAATCTGCCCACCTCAGGTGCATAATTAACAGAGAAAAGTTTTTTCTGTTACGAGAACAGCCTTCCCCTCGTATACACTGAAACTTCTGAAGTACCAAAACATTTTTTTCCAGGAGTCCGCCCCACCTTCTTTACTATCATTTCAGGGGGAGAAAAATAACTACCTGTCCCTCTTCAGGTGCTGCTTTTTTAATTGCATCAGCATCTCCAACGTTTTTCAACAAAAAAAAAAAAAATCATTCACTATCTCACTAAATCTGTATTCACGTGCAAAATTATTAATCAATATTGTGATACCATTAATTATTATATAAGCTGGATTAATTCCAACTCTATCAATTTACTTTATTCATATTCATTCGCTTTCAATAATTACGACTTAATCTTTCTTAAATAAATATTTCTATTTCCACATTTATCTCTATAGTCTCTAGTTTTTAAAAAATCGAAAGGCGATATTTACTAGAGATAACAGATAAATAGTTATTTCCTCGATTATCCTTCCTTATCCATTATTTTCCATTATTTATAATGCAATAATACGAAAAGCGATAATAATGAAACATTGGAATTGTCATGATCTTGCGATATTAAATGAATCAATCTCCGAGAGTAGTTTTAACAAAGCGCGATTAGCCGCAAAAAAGCCTCCGTGGAGCAGGTGGAGAAGTTCCCTGGGGACGAAGATAATTACCCTGATGGGGTCTTCTAATAGCGCTATTTTTTATTCATCTGTCCGGCAACAGTCACTTGAGCGAAGCCCTGAGCTTCAAACGTCATTTTGCCACGGCACATCACCGAAAGGAATAACTATTTCCCAGATATCTCCGAACAATGCCAAGTGGTACAATTCAAGTGAGAAATTGCAAAATTATCCATAATCCCAATATTAATTAATCACCATTCAAACAGAATCAGGAGGAATTCGACAAGGCAATCAGGGTTTTGAGTTGGAACAAATGGCTGCTATCAGCCCTTGGCCTCTGGCCCAAAAATCCCAACAGTTTAATCTTCATCGTGAATTTCGGATATTTCGTCTACAACATGTTGTGCGAATACCTTGATCTATTCCTTTTCATTGACAACCTGGAGCACGTAATCGAGAATTTAACCGAGAACATGGCGTTCACCCAAATTCTAGTGCGAATGGCAATGCTCAGGAGATATAATCAGCAGCTGGGAGAAGTGATTAATGAAGCTTTAAAGGATTACGATGCAAGGATGTACAGAAGCCCGGAGGAGAGCAAAGTTTTCCTCGATTACATGAACAAAGCCAAATTATTCGTTAAATTGTTGTGCGCCTTTGTGACAATGACTGCAACATCTTATTACGCTAAACCGATAACGAGTCCACCTCCGCCCCCACAAAGTGGAGGTAAATTATTATAATAATTGCAAGCCAATTGTTCTCATGATTTTTTATGAATTTCAGAAATCAGTTCAGAGGATAATGCAACGGGGCAATTTCTCCTGCCCTATCGTTTCCATATTTTTCATGAAGTCAATGATTTTCGGACGTACACTATTACATATGCCAGTCAATTTCCTTTTGTATTTGTCAGTGGATTGGGACAGACAGCTGCTGATTGTCTCATGGTGACTCTGGTATTTCATGTGAGTGGAAGGCTTTCAGTTCTTGCTATGAGGATATCATCACTGAAAACAGGAGCTGATAACTGTAGAGCAGAATTGGGGAATATTATCGTTGAGCATAATCGATTGTTGAAGTAAAATTATACGTATCCATGGATTTAGCATGATTTCTCAATTTTATCGGTTTCAGAATGGGACAAACTATTGAAGAAGCCTTCAGTGAAACACTCCTCGCGCATTTAGTTGGGGCCACAGCTCTGGTTTGCATCCTGGGATATCAGTTGCTAGTGGTTTGTTCAGTTTTTTCCCCCTCGATTTTGAAAGTTTTTTGAAATTATAGAGTGGAGAAATTTGATTTTAGAATTATGCCAAAGGCCAAGGTGCTGATCTTGCCACATTTTTTGTATTCATATTTCTCGTTTTTTTGGTTCTCTATGCCCACTGTGTTGTTGGCGAAAGTTTAATTACTGAGGTAAGATTCTATATTCTCTGATATCAACTGCAGAATAAATTCTCCGAGGTAAATACCACGCGATGGGAAAGTTATTAGCCGGAAAAATGATTAGAGTCGAATCGATAACTTCATTTGATTTTTTTTTTATTTCGACGGAATATTCATCACAATCTCATAAGCGCCTTTACTTATTGAACAAAAATTCAACAAAAATAGTTATTTATATTATCTAATAACAATATTAATAATTAATTATGATTAAGTGGGAATATATAATTAGGAAATACACGAAAAATAGTGTAATGAGCATAAATGGTTGATTTTCATGAGATAATTCAGTCATTTTATTGGAATAAATAATTTTTGTGCGTGTTGATGGGCCCAAATAATGAATCTATTGAAATATTAGATCATGAATATTGAAATATTAATATTCATACAGAGTAACAAGGTGTGTGAAGCATACTACGATTGCTGGTGGTATGAAATGCCCAAGGAAACAGAAAAACTCATTATTTTATGTATGGCAAGATCGCAGAAGCCTCTTGGCTTAACAGCCGGAAAATTGGGATCGTTTTGTCTCAGTACTTTAACAGATGTTAGTATCCATTAACTTGAATTCTATCAACTCAGAATTAATTATCTATTTTTCATACAGGTTGTGAAAACAGCGATGACTTACTTGTCTGTTCTCAGATCTTTTCTCCTAGAATAATCTGTTTATATTGTTGATTATTACACACAAATGTGAATACATTACGATTGATGTATCTATGGCGTTGAAATCTGATTACTACTTGGATCCTCAGTAGACCATTTACAATGTACTTCCAGTGTAACTCTCAGTAATAAAAACTCCCTCGATTTATAGGAATACTGAACTCTTCGATTTCCACTAAATTTCACCCCAGGGGCCTGCAGTAAAAATAATTTCCCCCTTGTTCTTCTTTTGATACTAACATACGCAAACTCAGGACAATGGAGAAACCCCCCAGCTTCAAGCGCTGCGACATAAGATGATTGATTGCTCAAATAATCATGATCTGCAGGCGCGGGCTTTTGCGTTTTCAAAGTTCGACTCCAGCAATTTGCATTTGAAAGTTGAGGATAGCTGAAATCAGGGGTTGCAAAAATTTTCCGTGCAGTTAAATCGTCAGTTGAATTTTGTCGAGTCCCATAACATGACTGACGTGAGTTCTGAATGATGATGTGTGATCTGGTGACTACCTTGAGTTTGTTATAGGAATCCACGATTTCTGAGAGGTCTTCAAAAATCATTAGATGGATGAAACTAGTGATGTTCATGATCGGTTATCAATCGGACAAACGTGGACTTAGGTGTTACGTATCATTCCTGTGTATTTCCTATCAATTGGTGTTATCTTATGTCGACGTTTTTGTTAATATTAGGGATTCTGAGTATGTTATAGATAATCTGATGGACAGTATACCACTGCTCGCTGTGGGTATCAATTTTCTTGTGATGTGGTTTCACCAGGACACTATCACCGAAGTTATTCAGTTGATTGAAAGAAACAGTGATCTCAAGAACTATCGGAATCACCAAGAAGTCGACGTGTTCGATTATTACAATTCAATCACGGAGATGATTCTTAAAGTACTCAGTGTTCATTTGATACCTTATGTGTGCATAATGTGTGCTCTTCCCATCTCATCCCGACGATCACCAGGTGAATTTCCTTGTGCACTTGGTACTGTCGAATATACTGATGAATTTTTTCAATATCACACCAAGATCTGACAACTAATGCAACTGACAACTATACAATCAATTATCCTCTACCTCTACATCTCTATCGACCCTACAAGATTGATAACGAAGTCGCCTATTTTTTGAGTTACACGTCTGTCGTTTTATTTCTGACTGTCGATGTTCTCATCACGATAGGTATTCTGTTTCTACTGACAATCACCGCATTACATTTTGGTGGACAAACGTCAATTCTCAAAATTCGAATTGATAACTTTGTTATTGATGATTCTGAAGAATTTCGGCGTGAGCTTGCAAATGTCATTGAAAGTCATAATAATGTCATATGGTAAAAATATACGATTAATCTGCGATTAGCTTCCCTTGTAGTTAAGGAATATTAGAAAACCTCATTGAATAATAAAATTGCACCATTCGATAAAGCTATACTCGATATTATTGCGATAATTTTTCCATTATTTTGTCTCTTACCTATATATATAAATATATCTTCCTATCCTTTTTCATTTTTTAAATATAGACTTCGTCTGGTGGTGCAATTCTAAAAAAAATGATCCCCCGAATGCGACTCGAAATTCGAAATTGATCAGATATTCGCCTTTAGGTCTCTTGCTAACAAACGAGCTTGTCGACTTTTCCATAAAACCTGGAAACTTGATACGTTTATTCATTTGCGACGAACTTAGAGGGAAATATCCGATAATTTTGATGCTCTCGCGGTAATATAAGTGATTAATGTTCCACAGGATCGGCGAAAAGATGAACGAAATATTCAATATTTATTTCTTGGGATACTTATTGTCTTGTACATTCATTCTCTGCTTGACAAATTACCAATTACTGCTTGTACGTATAATTTTGTCGATGATTTATTCACTTTAATAGACATTCTGATATTTATTTAAGTATCTTGCAAGAGATGATTACGCCAACGTCACGAGATGCTTCTTATGTACAGTAGTAATTCTGGCAGCTGTTTGCGTGAATTGCCTTTTAGCAGACCACATTGTGACCAATGTAAAGCAATAATTATTTATTAATCCAGCATGGATCATTTATCAATCCAGCCCAAGAAATTCGATAACCGGAATTTCTCTATGATCTTCTACTTCTTCTCGAATTTTCCTCTAGAAAATTAATTTTTAAAAATCCATAAAATCGATTTTCTGATTCTTCGAATTTAACGTGGCGTGGTGGATAGCAAATTGAATTTATCCAATCGAATTCTTTAAGAGTTTGCAGGTGGAACGGGCATTTTACGAGTGTCAATGGTACAACGCCCCAAACAGCTGTCAAAAGAGCATCATGTTCTGCCTGAAAAGAGCCCAATCCCCCCTGTACCTGAGTGCTGGAGGATTCTCTGCTGTCAACCTTACGACCGTGACATCAGTGAGACCTAAATTACTTAATCATAAGTTTCTTAACCATTTTTCATTATCAAAATTGCAATGCAGATAATCAAGGCTTCTGCAGGATATCTCTCATTACTGCGAACCGTCATGTGATTTATCGATATTTTCATACTACACTGGATTTAAATATTGGCAACTCATCAAATATTGTCAATGTGATTTATCAGATACCACTAATATAAGATATTGATATTCGAAGATGTTTTCGTCCGGCTGAACTTTATGTTTTATTTATTATCACGACATTCTCTTTGAGCGGGCAAACGTCGATTTTGATAAAACGCATCGAAAATTTTTCAACCACTTGCCCATTTAAATTGGGAATTACCACAGCAGATGTGATAGCGAAGCATCAGAATCTGCGAGGTGCGTTATATGATATGTGACTGACCCTCACCAACAGTACATAAATCCCATCAAAAAATGATCAATGATCAATTACTTTTTGAATAATTGGGGAGGAAAATTGTCGCCACGTCTTTTAAAATGCCTCCGCAATGCTTTGTTCGATTACGATTGAATTTCTTTGAGGAATTTATTTTCTTGGGAATCCCCAAGGGAACTTTCTCTTTACAGAGTTATGAATTCATAACTCTTTAAGGAGTTATGAAATATTATGTTGAAATTTAAAGTGAGTTGTCAGTGTTATTGAATTCCCGCCTCTAGCGAGCAAAGTGATTTAGCGCTCCACGGACAACTCATCCACTACTCCTGATAGGTAAGCAAATACCGATTCCTTCTTTGAGTGATAGTAATCCAGTGGTGTCATCTATCGGATGTTCTCAAATTCGAGACAAAAAAATCCAAAGTACAATGTTCTTATAATTTTTTATAGTTTACCGTACATTATAAAAAATTGATTATTCCCAATAAACTATTAACTCTCAAACAATTCGCAGCATAGATTCAGATTCTACAAACAATTTGCAATTGATTGCGAAAAACTTCTTTTTTTCAATGATTTTTCGAAAGTTTGTCGGTTAGCTTTATGAAATTTTTTCATTAATTAACAAAGAAAAAAACATTAACTCTCAAACGTTGAAAACCGCTTTACAATGACCTCCTAACGAATTACAAACAATTCTGAATGGTAATTTATTTAATAATTATTTTTTGTCAGCTGATTGGATATTGCTAAGGCCTAAGGCCCAACCAATTCAGGGGTCTCAACCTTACCATGCGTTAGCCACTGTGAACTTATAAAAAAATCGGGCCCTAAATCTATAGTGAAAATGGAGAAGTCTGGGGTATTCTAGTGACGATGATCTGATCCTGCGACTTTAGCCACCGAGCTGACCCATCTTGACCGACAAATCTACTGTTGTGCCCTCCATCGCGGAGGGTAGCAGTTGAGCAACGATCATTGAGCCAGTCTCAAAGTGGCAAAGTCTGAACCACTACCATCTCTATCTAAATTTATACTTCGGTATAATACGTGTGCCCCTTTCGTTTGTACTGGCTTTCACGACGAAGATATTTTTTCCGTCGTATCGGTCGTATCGCACTCGACCGATGTGTAATTTCTGAATGCGGATGAAAAATAGAGTTAAATAGATGTATGTATTAATCAATAAATAAAATATCTAGTTTTATGAGTGTCCTGCACGCACTGACTGCGGACAGAGAATAGAGAAGTTTATAAAATAGAGTGATAATCGGGGTGGGCTCGTGCGAGCCATTTGCTTTGGTTTCAATGCACCTTGAAACGTCATATCAATGTGTCTATCTAATATCGATGGAAAAGGGTGACAAGTCAAAATGATATGAGAATCATTTTTAGCAATACGAGGGAGTGAATGAAATGAATGAAATAGTGACCGACTATCGTCGTGAAAACTGGTGCCATTTGTAGGCCAATCAACATTGGTTTGTGGAATTTGGTGTGCTTTAACGTTTGCAGTGGTCAGTGAATTTGCGTGTTTCACCTGAAGGTATCGGCGACATAGCTTGATAGACTCTTGCTTGCAAAAGTAATCCTTTGTTTTTAAACATTGATACGGACTTTATCTTGTTGCAATGTTGATTAAACGAGGATCATTCATGACGTTTCGATAAAAGGTGTAACGCCATTAGAGAGATATTACGATCAAAGACGGTTGTTACAATTTCATTTTCATTTTCGAAAATTTTTTTCCTTTAGCGACCTCGATCAGTGCAAGTGTGAGTTTATTTTTTTAGATTGATATGTAATGTACATGTGTCTATTTCTATTGAATTCTTCGGTGTAGTGGTTCAATGAGAATGAGTCAATGGGATTTTTTGAGCGCGTCTGTGACTTTGTCACGTATTTTCGCGAATTACTGAAAATTCCCATTGCCTCATTCACATTTCACATTACTATGTGAAAATTTATGCGGTCGTTCACTCCATTCCATCGTGGAAGCAGGAAGTAGCTTTCACACATTTTTGACGAAATATTTTCAGTTCACAGATATCATTCTTCATGAATTGAAACTGTAAATATTCAACAATTTTGTTCTATCTAACCAAGATGTCTCTAAACTGCAACTCACGTGATCTTGCTGTTTTTCCAAATGCCATTTTCTTATGTTGTAAATATTTTTCATTATACGCCCGCTAGGTGTGTCCTTGAGTGATCTAATGCTGATATTCGTTTTCATTGACGTTTATATTAATGACTAATTGACTATCCTTGAATTGTTATTGATCGGAATTTTTCATCAGAATAATTTGCTCCTATAATGAGGCTCAAGAGTGAATCTCCCTTTTCCGAAAAATGCAATTTCTGAGGAGAAGAATCAAAATATGTGGAACAAAAATCATTCCTATTTATTTTATAATTGGAGAAGAACAGTAAATAATTGAATTTTCTCAGAGACGATTCAGTACATGTCATCAGAAAATAAAGCGAAATCGGTGACTTTACTTCACAATAATATATACGTCGCGTGTTAACATCCAAAGATACATTTTCGTATTAGTAAAGTTTATTATATTATTATATTATTATATTTATATTATTTATATGATTTGTATTATTATTAGTCTTGGACTAATGAAACCCAAGGCTGAGATGGCAGGAGAAAGGTGAAGAAAAAGTATTGAGTTTTCTTTTTTCAGATCGTGATGGAGAGTTCCGACGAGCCGACGAGTCTGCAATCAATTTGCCACTTACACGCATCTGAACTTTTTCCAAAACATGCTCATTTTGAAACTGAAGATCCATCATTATCCGTACCCTTTACTCCTCTCAGTGGAGAATTTGTGGTTGCACTTGGTCGTACTTCTGATGGAATTTTAGCATTATCAAACTATAGACTCTACCTACAACTCGGTCAGACATGTTACAATATACCACTGGGTCTCATTGAGCAGCTAGAAGTCAAAGAAATATTTTATCTTCAAATAGGGTGTAAAGATGCTCGCTCAGTCAGTTGTGCATTTGCAACGAATGAACACTGCTTAGAGTGGTTCAAGCGTTTACACAAAGTGACTTATCCAAGAAAAAGTGTAGAAGATATTTTTGCCTTCGGTTATTATGCTTGGTCCATGGAAGAGGGAAAGGAGTATGCGAGACTCGGAAAAGATACGAATACTTATATCGCCGTTTTTAATGCAGAAGTGGAACGATTAAAATTCAATCTTCATGGGAGTTGGCGCATAAGTCAAATAAATAAAGACTACCGAATGTGTCCATCGTATCCCCCTCAACTCCTCGTACCAGCGTGCATTACTGACGACACCTTGGAGGTCGTAGCGAAATTCCGAAGTTCTCGAAGGATTCCTGCCGTGGTTTGGAGACATGTAAATAATGGGGCAGTGATAGCTCGTAGTAGTCAACCAGAAGTGGGTTGGCTGGGTTGGCGAAGTTCCGAGGACGAAGATTTATTGAAGGCATTGTCAGACGCTTGCTCTTATGATCGCGGAGAATCAACTATTGAATCTCCAATAAACTACTCTGATCCTTGTGATGAGTTGATACCAAACACTACGAAAAAGGTTCTGATTGTCGATGCAAGATCTTATACAACAGCTGTTGCAAATAGAGCACGAGGTGGAGGGTGCGAGTGTCCAGAGTATTACCCAAGTTGTGACATACAATTTATGAACTTACCAAATATTCACTCAATCAGAAAGAGTTTCCATGCTGTAAGACAGCTTTGTGCGTCAGATGCCGATCAACCGAATTGGTTGAGCCTTTTGGAAGGTACCAGGTGGCTTCAGCATATGTCTGGCCTTCTTCGGGCTGCTGTCACAGTGGCCTCTGCTATCGAACGAGATGGTAGACCAGTTCTTGTTCATTGCAGCGATGGATGGGACCGCACACCACAAATTGTCGCGCTTGCTCAGATATTACTTGATCCTTATTATCGTACGATGGAGGGTTTTCAAATACTTTGCGAGAGAGAATGGTTAGACTTTGGACATAAATTTGCTGATCGATGTGGTCAAACTATCGGCTGTGAGGACCCCAATGAGCGATGTCCAGTTTTTCTACAGTGGTTGGACTGTGTGCATCAGCTGATCAGACAATTTCCGTGCAGTTTTCAAATGTCTTCGGCGTATATTGTAAAATTAGTACAACATACGTACTCTCAATTATTTGGAACATTTCTGTGCAACACTCGACAAGAGCGGCTGCAATCCAGGATCCGAGAACACACCTTCTCTGTGTGGCGTTTTCTCAATTCAGTTTCTTTCGTTAATCATCTGTATTCACCCTCGAAAGATCTGGTATTGTGGCCACGGTGCAATGTTCGTGATCTTGTTCTTTGGTCCGAGGTATACTTGGACTCTATGGAGATATCACCCAAGCCGGACAAACAGCGCGTACCTCTCATTGACATCGAGGCGGGTGAAATAGAGGAGCTCCAGGGCCAAATGACGAAAACACGTTCTTATGGAGATCTAATTCACACCCAAGATCACGTAGTGTACCTGCACCGCAGATTGAGCGATCCCAGTATTTCAATTGAAAAAAAATTTGGCTCGATGAATCTCGAGAATGAATCAGATAAGACTGAAGATACATCCACTGATGACAATATCTGTGGAGGAGATCCTAAACCATTCGAAAGTGATCCACATAAGAAGAACGATCATGTCTATCAAGTGACGAATGATTTACCAGCTGACGTGTCAGTGGAGAGTTCTACAGATACTTTGATACCGAACATTGAACCGGCCTTGCAGACAGATAACGGGGAAACACCCACAACACAAACGACGTTACCACGGGACAACACAACGCCTTGGGTAGAAAATCAGGGAATCAGCCGTAATCAGTGTTCCTGCAATCGATCAAATCAGGAAGGTAGTGATATCAGTGAGACGAGTGCTGCAGTAATTTCAAGGACTCCGAGCAGCATTTGTCCAGCATCACCTAGCCATCACGACTTTTGTTTGGACAGCCCAGATAGTTTGGACGACGTAGACGGACTTCCTGTTATTCACTGTGACGTTCAACTGCGTGTTCAACAAATCATCATTGAACACAAGGTTAGAAAGGTGTCATTTATCCCTGAATTTATTATCGAATAGCTTTCTAACTGTTCTTTGGGATGGCCTGACTTGGGTATGACTTAGGTTAAAGAGGAGGCCCTACGAAAGGAGCTACACACGACGCGGCTGGCCCTCATACAAAAAGTCTGTACTAATCACACTGCAGAAACTGATCGCATTGATGAGATTGTGAGTGAATTGCTTAATTCATTGTTTTTTCTCTATTCAGTTATATCATTGCGCAATCGTATTTTGATTGATTTGAACAGCGTGAGGTACTGACAGTTGAGATTGCTACGTAGAAATATACATTTGTGGCTGATTGCACATCACGACGATACGTGAAAATTCCATTCTTTTGTTTGAGAACTTATTTATCAGAATGAATGCCTATTTGCTGCGCATTTAATGGAGATCGAAGGAAAATTTTAATGATAGATTTACGTTTCTGTAGGGTTCATTGCCAGATTCGGTAGGTAGTGTGGGTGATCATGGCGAATCATTGCCATCGGACATGTCCTGGGAGGCTGTAGAAGAACTCGGACCGGCTCCAACCCTGTGGGTACCCGATCATGCTGTTAACAGATGTATGGGTTGCGATACCGAGTTTTGGCTTGGTCGACGAAAACATCATTGCAGGTAAAGAAATATTGGTTAGAAGAACATTTTCTTGGTAATTAGTATTCATCAGATATTTGAAATACTTGTTGAGCGCGGCTGAATGGATGTTCATTTATAAATAAATAAATAAGAATCATCGTCGCAACCATGAACTGAGGTAAATCTTGAAAAATAATTTTTGGGAAATAAAATAAATCTTGGAAAACGATCAAATACTGAATCACGCCTTGGCCACGGCAGCTGCAAAAGCTCTGCAATCGAGGTATGAATTTTCGGGTGCTTATCGATCGAAAACACGAATTCTATTGTCAATTGCAGCTAGGGTCGTAATTTATACAGGGTGTCTCGGAGGTACATGTCGATTCAAAATCAGCAGGTTTACGGTGTGATTCTGAACAGAAACATCATCCACCACTTTTGGATCCAAAGCAAGCAATATTTTCAATTAATTTTCAGATGCTGTGGTAAGATATTTTGCGCTGACTGTTCGGAAAATTCGACTCCATTGCCTTCTGAGCAACTCTACAATCCTGTTCGTGTCTGTAGCGAATGCTTCTCACGTCTTCACCATCATCCCTCCGGTTCGTGTCAGTGTATGCGTCATTCCGGCATATCCGAGAATGATTCCATAGACACCCCATCGAACTCAGAGATGACAGTAATGTCAAAAGAGGGATGCAATGAGACCTCGTTGCTGGTTAATCAGCAGGAACCACGACCGCCGGCGACGATCAGTCAGGCTGTGAACTAATGACTCAAAACAAAAATCGCAATGAATAGACAGGAAGCCGCAACTAGCTTTGCAGACCTTACAATTCAAAATTCATAAATTGAGAAAAAAGTAAGGGTCGTATTTATACAAAAGATTTGTAAACGACATATATATATATATAGATATGTGTATAATTATATATATTATATATATATGATGAGCGTAATGAAAAGAAATCATTGACCACGTTAAAATCAACATTGAGCGATCATATTTATTAATAGAATTAATAATATTTGTACGATGATGTGTATAGAATCGGCAGTTGGAGTAGCTGTCTATGGCGGGGGAGAGGAAGTGGAATTGAGTTTTAGAAATGATTAAATTGAAGTAAAACCAAATTGGTGAAGAGAATCAATGTAGAATAACTTCATCATAATTCAAAGTCGTAATTTTTTTGTTTCATCTAGGCGTAACGAGATCTATTCTGGATTTATTTAAAAAAATTATACATTATTATCTTTTTTATGTTTTTACAACATAAAAAGGCAAAAATGTTATTAATTTTATAGGCTGTGACTGATGCATCGTTAGCAGGGGTAATAGCTGGATCTAAGCAGGAACTATGTTGCGCATGATATCGTAAAGCTAATGATGAAACCTATACATTTTGATCCATCTCATTGTATTTGTATATTACGGTCCTGGCGCCAAGTATTGGTCCCTCCGTATCTGATCGATAATACACACATTTGATGCTCTCCTTATCTCTTTTAATGAGACAATTTTAATTTTTCTTAATGGCATTTGCGTGCATGTTTGGAACAATTATAATTTGTTGGAGCGAATTATTGGATTTTCATTAGGCCAGAATAATTGAAATGTATGAATTTTAATGAACCGAATGGGAAATTTATGAATACACTTCGATTCGCATAATTATCAGCATCATTTATTCATTTTATATGGACAGACTACTCGCTACTGAGTAGTCGTTACCGAGGAAGAGAATCTCGTTTCAGTAACATTGATCTATTTGAACATTGTGGTCTATAATTTTCGCACGGAGACATATAAGGTCGCTTTAACAGTTGGTGGATCCGAGATCTGAAACAACATCCCTGGAATGCATCAGAAATCTAATCCAACGGACATTGAAGCAGCAATCATGCAGACTACAGACTGATTCTGTAATGGCATTATATTATTTCAACATATAGTGACCTCGATATTTTACGAAAAATGAGAACTGGGTCTAACATAGTCTTGAACTTTGGAGTTGGAAATTTACTAGAATTAATACAAATTCTAGAACCAAAGATGCACGATTTCCTATTGAACGAATCCTCTTCGGGTATTTATGAACATCTAATAAGGACTTCGAAGGATGAGTAAGTATCGGGATGGGAATATAAGTGGAGAGAATTAGAGCAGACGAAATTTTTTTATTACCATCATCCACCTTAAGGTCTCGCTGGTAGCATCAAATATCTTATACCTATTTTCAATAATAAAACTAATTGATATAATATCTTATGATACTGTTTTGAGACTCGTCGAATTATGAAGTGATGAAACATTTTGAAGGAGAAGTGTTGCATTCTTTAATATATTATTATTTTCATCTTTAGTATCATCTGCCTTTTGAAATTGAATGAGGATAACCAGATACGTTGTGACAGCACCTGCCATCTGAACAGAATAAAATCATGGAGTTAATGTTAATGTTTTTCCAATGAAGAAGTTTGATAAGTATTTTGAGAATAATTAAGACCTATTAAGAATTCGGCAAGATCAGTTTTATGGAAAACGTTATGCAAATATAGAGCGTAACATTTCCATAAATAGTTTTGCGACTCAGATAACGAACTATTGAGCAATAAAATGGAATAATAGTAATGATGGAGACTAGAGTGGCGATACAGTAGCTAGTTAGGGTGTAGAAGCGAAATAATGAAGATCGAGAGATGATCGGAGGGAGATCGGGCATTGTCTACTTGAAATAGATATTAATTTCTTTTGTGGTAATGGGGTTTACTTGAGTACATGAAATCTTCCTCCTCTCTTGTCCTGCCCCGTTTCCAAACATTACTTTCAAACATTATTAGTAGATTAACATGAGCATGAGCTGATAAACTTTGCTTTCTACGAATGCTTTCATCCACAATTTTGTCCCGCACAAATGACATTGATTAACTGTCTTGTTTCCTTATTTTGTATTTCTTCATTGGAAAGTATAAGCGTTATATTCGACTTGTCCTCAGTAGCAGAATGAAGTAAAACATAATAATATCTATTATAATAATCTCATGAAGTTAATGAAAAAGTTTCCATCGGCTCGACGCTCTTACAAGTACGGTCATCAGTACTGTGGCATCACTGGATCACATTCATTGATTGCTAACTCGTTACTTAAAGCTTGCCCCAGCCAATTCAAATTCAAAAACAATTGTTCCATAGAATTTTATATTATTATGAGACCTACCGAAGTAACTAAAGCTCGGTCTAGTGAAAAAAGTCCACAAGCAGTAAAATCCAAAGGTCTGTGCAGAAGCTGTAGCGAAAAAAGTTCCAGTTGTTTCCTGACATCTGGTTCCCAGTTGTAAGTAAGCAATTGACTGACTAATACAGCAGTTCTCTTCGATTCTGTTGTTGTTGCATAACAAGGCTGAACCACTATCAACATTCGGAATATATGAAATACACACCATCCCAATTGTACGGCAATGAATAGTGCCTCTTTATCGCTGTTTGCTTCTATCATTAAGAAGTAGGGGGTGATAATCAGATGAAGGAGACAGGTGATTGTTACCACAAGAATTGGTAAACCAAATGCCTTGTTCAGTAGAACGTTAGTGTCGCAAATCGACGAATGTACAGTTATCAGCTGAGAGAATGTATCCGTCATTTCTCGAATTTCTATAATAATGAGAAAAAACATTTTTTATCATGAAATCATTTAATTGCTGCGCGGGGAATAACTCTGATATTATTAAAATATTAAATAACGGAAAATTCTATCAGGCCTCAATATAAATTCAGCGTGAACGACAGAAATTTCGGCCGAAGCAAAAGCCGTTGGAAAATCTCCTTTTTACGTTTTCGGAATCTTTAAATAAGATTTTATTGAAGAAAATTGTTTTTTATACCACATGGTGTATGTGAAATGTACTTCCATTTTATTATTCAAATCGAATTAGAAATTAGTAAAATTACTCAGTGTTGGTAATGTTATAAAGTTCATAGTCACATAGAATAATTTTGATCTTACCTCCTTCACCAACTGTCCAGTCAGACACTTTTGGAGTCCTGAAGACTCTTGCAGGTCGTGCTTCAACTTCTGTCCTTGTGCACACTGTAAATGCAGTCCGATCCTTAGATTCACTACTGAAACTCATATCTTTCTTGGTAAAATGTCTTCCCGTTTTTAACAAACTTTCCAAATTTTTGTTCAACCTCAAGAAACGTTCATTGAGATTATACGTAGTAACGGTGTACTGTATTTCAATCACTAACGCCTGCATGCAAAGAAAGTATATGGGAGAGTAGTTGATTGGGCCTTTGTCAGCCATTTTTCTCTTCAGTTTGGTTTGCACATCCCATACGTAAATATCGAGAGAAGATATTGTAATCAAGTAACAGAGAGCACTTGTCGAAATTATTATTGCAAATCTTCGTGTTTTTTTGGCATTGATGAATCCAATCTTTTCATCGGCCTAAGGACGGAAATGACAAGTTAATCATGGAAATCTTAATTATAACTTTCAAATATCTGAAACATTTGTATGAACTTTCCTTTCGTTATAGTCACAGAATACATTTTTTCCAAAAATTATCAGTACCGAGAAGAGAAAAAATGCTTCGACAGATATTTTTTGAGACTCACAGTGAACCATGAAATGAAAGTACATAGTTTTGGTTTATTGCAAATATATTTTCATCACGAGGTGAAATTAACTTTTCAGGCACGGGAAAATCCCTTTTCCGCACTTGTTACGAAATATACTATTTTGTGTCACAACAGCTTAATTCTATATTTCGTAACAAGAGCGGAAAAGTGATTTTTCGCAAGGCGAAGCGGAGCGTGTCTGAAAAATTATTTTCCAGCACATCGTGCTGAAAATATTTATTTCGTATTAATCAAGGAGAAAAAATAAAAGTGAAAAAAATTACATAATTTCTGAAAGATTTTAAGGTTCCGTGACTATGATACAGTCTCTATTCTAATCAAAAAAAAGTCATTCAACTCACGTCAATGAGACGTCCCATGATCTCCTCAATATATTTCCAACGAAAGGGTGCACCGAGTACTCCAACGGCAGCTATAAGTGCAACAGCAACGACATCCCCAATGGTGACGTTGAGAGTCGCCTGATGTTTTAGCCGAGTGCTGTGCACCCATCCATCTCTGAGATCTCGCCAAAGTCCCCAAATCTCAGCGCAGATGAACAACAAAAGGAGACAAACTCTGTTAAAATTGTCGAGTATTAAACAATCTACAAGAATAGTCTAGCCGTGCTCACCCGTAAAAAATATCAATCATGTGCATTTTTGAGCTGTATCTCCCATTCGTTTGCCGACTGAATCGTACTGGCAGCAGTCCAAACCCTTTGCTCAAATAGTAAATGGGGAAGAGTCCTTGGTACAGATCCGATTTTGATTGCTTATTCATTGCTGCGTCTTGTTTGGAAACGTCAGACCCTTTAACACCACTCAAGAACTCCTCTATAAAAATGGAATTATTGCAATAATTTTAGATAACTAAAGCTTCAATTTCGTCCTATAAATGTCTGTATTATTCGTTATTCTAATTATTATTACTCCTAATACAAAAAGGAGAGAAGAAATCCATCTCGAATGATGCCCTCGCTAAATCTCAAACATTTGCAATGAATGCGTGCAGACGATCTCGTTATGTAAAAATAATCATAAAAAAGAGAAATTAAAACATATTGTACTCACTCGCCCTTGGAAACATTCGTTGGATACCATCCCAAGAAGCATGCATACGTGATAGAAGAAAATCTAGCCAAGAAGAATAAAAGTTGTACCCAGAAAAACTTTTATTTCCGTTACGATGGAGAAAATACAACTGAGAAGTTCGTATCTGGATGGTGAACTGTTATGTTATGAAATTACTAGCCAGGAATTGTTATTATTTCCATCACACATTCAGGTGGATAAACTCGTTGTTTTTACCTCTTGTCAATGGGGGCTGTAATTATTATTGACCATTCGTCCTGCAATGATAAGAGGCATATGATCATTATCGCTGACAACAATTGTTTTTTCACTCCGGTGAGTGCATCAACTGGATCGATTTTATAAAACCAATATTAAAGATAGAAGGGAGTACGCTGTTTTACGTATATTTCTTCATGATCATTAATTCTCTCATTGTTTTAATAAGTTTTTTTCGTAAATGAAGAATGCGAATATTTAACATTTTTTAAAAAAAGGATGCAACCATTGCTCAATCATATCAAACCATTGATAAATTACATGCCCTCATTCTCGAAGGTCATGGAAACAGGAAAGTATAACTGCTGCTGGAGTGTGGGCGGACAAAGAAGTTTACTCATCATATATTATTACCCGCATATTTCCGACGGATGTTTGTTTTATCGATGGCTACGGAAAAAACAATGGTATTTATAATTCTTCATCAAGAAGAGGGAATTTTTAAACATCTACAACAATCTCAGGATATCTGATTAAGCAGATCTACATCACTCTTCAGTAATTATAAATATCTCGTGTCTTCTGGAATTTGGCAATTCTCTTACTGTTCGATTTCGATTTTTCGAAATTTCTGTCAAATATTGCGATGAGTCAAAAATATCAGGCTGAAAAAACTAATCATTTTCTTTTTTATTCGCCATGGAATTAAGCGATGCAATGTTACTACTTACCTGATCGGCTTCCTCTCTAAGAACCAAAACGGCGGAAAACATTGTGCAACTTTTCAATTCAATTTGATTATAATTGATCTCAAGTTAATCATGTTGAGATTAACCAATTTGACATTTTATTTGGAGGTTTTAACATACAATTATAGAATTTGAGTTTGAAGTACCCGCTGCAGGCGTGTTCACAAATCCATGAGAACCGACGTCTTTCTGTTTGAATGACCCCAAAGACATCGTAGTATCTCACCCCAAGAGAGAGAGGGAACCACACGGAATGTTGGGGTGTCTGCCCGTCAACCGCCTCGGTAACTGCCTCAATAGCAGTCCCGCTGTCAGAGGGACCAGTCGACGGGTGAATGTTATTTACTGCGTTGTAATAAAAAAACAAAAATCAATTTCGTAACGCAGAAAATAACATTCACCCCGCCGACTGGTCCCTCTGACATGAGGGGAACATGAGAATCGAGGAGGTACTCACTGAAATGTGAAAATACAAAATTTGTGAAAAAGTATGAGGGGAACATGAAAATCGAGGAGGTATTCGCTGAAATTGAAAAATGCGAAATTTTTGAAAAAGAATCAGAGGAACATGAAAAGAGAGGAGGTATTCACGGAAATTTAAAAATTCGAAATTTTCAAAAAAGTATCAGGGAAACATGACAATTGAGGAAGTATTCGCTGAAATTGACAAATTCGGAATTTTTGGGAAAGTATCAGGGGATCATGAAAATCGAGGAGATATACACTGAAATGTGAAAATACAAAATTTGTGAAAACGTATCAGGGGAACATGAAAATCGAGGAGGTATTCTCTGAAATTGAAAAATTCGAAATTTTTGAAAAAGTATCAGGGGAGCATGACAACTGAGGAGGTATTCACTGAAATGTGAAAATTTGAAATTTTTGAAAAACTATCAGGGGAGCATGAAAATAGAGGAGGTATTCACTGAAATTTAAAAATTCGAAATTTTCAAAAAAGTATCAGGGGAACATGAAAATCGAGAAGGTATTCCCTGAGAGTGAAAAATTCGGAATTTTTGAAAAAATATCCGGGGAACATGAAAATCGTGGAGGTATTCCCTGAAATTGGAAAATTTGAAATTTGTGAAAAAGTATCAGGGGAATATGAAAAATCGAAAAGGTTTTCACTGAAATAGAAAAATTCGAAATTTTCAAAAAAGTATCAGGGGAGCATAAAAATCGAGGAGGTATTCACGGAAATGTGAAAATACAAAATTTGTGAAAAATTATCAGCGGAACATGGAAATAGAGGAGGTATGCACTGAAATTTGAAAATTCGAAATTTGTGAAAAAGTATCGAGGGAACATGAAAATCGAGGAGGTGTTCACTGAAATGTGAAAATCCGAAATTTTGGAAAAAGTATCAGGGGAACATGAAAATCGAGAAGGTATTCGCTGAAATAGAAAAATTCGGAATTTTTGAAAAAATATCAGGGGAGCATAACAATTGAGGAGGTATTTACTGAACTGTCAAAATTCAAAATTTTATAATCAAAAAGAAAACAATTTTGTAACGCACAAACTAACATTGACCCCGTTGACTGGTCCGTCTGACAGCGGGACTGCTATTGAGGCAGTTACCGAGTCGCCTGACGGACAGAAACCCCACCATTGCGTGTGGCGCCCTTATGCCCCGAGGATGACTGCAGTTGCTCCACTGAGTCCTGCCAATTTCAAATAAGGCCCTGAGGCTGCTGCCGATTTCCACGATTTAAAAAATAACAGCAACTTACAGCTGATGCAGCAGTTTTCGCAAACGAACCGGCATTCGAGCTGACGGGATTAGAAAACAGAACGTAATTCAATGTATCTGATACTCCCATTCCCGTTTCAGAGATCCAATCGAAGTGTTTTTGATGGTTAAGACCAAAATCCACACGCTAAATTCTCTTCAATCAATTATTTTTCACTGACTATTGGATTTTACATGATTGTACTGTTTTTTTTAAGAAAGAATTATTTATTAGGTTAAGAATTTTCGCAATTATCGCATCTCGTCAAGTTGAGACTGCCCGCGGTGTTCTGTGCGCACGGATGGTTCGCGTGCGTATGCACGGAGTATCGCCTGGCGACCCCCCCTCGAGCGGTCTTCTGTGCGCATGCAGGGTGTTCTGTGCGCATGGGGAGTGTTCTGTGCGCACGCGCGGAGTCTCGCCGGGGGGACCCCCCACTCAAGCGCCGGCTCCAAAGCCCTGCCATTTTGAGTGGGGAGTCAGTCGTTCCGCGACCCGCGCGTGGAACGGTCGGTCGCGCGTCGCGTAGCTAAAATCCGTTAACATCGGGGTCCTAGTGAGCGCAGAAGACAAGCGCCTCCCGTGAACATTGAAAATACAAAGTGCGGGACTCAGTGCAAGTGATTTTGTGAATTGTTTAGTGTGTGTTTAGATACGGACT